CAAACGCTTGACTGCAAAGCTATCGCTATTTACTATGATTTGAGTGTGTGTTCAAGATCAGATAAGCCAATACCGATAGATTTGCAGTAAAGTGCTTGAAATTCGTAGCCGGAATCCTGTGACATGAAAAAAACCTTTTGAATGGCGACCACCAAAACTCAAATTTCTTTTGTGATGAAGGTCGAGTTGGTCGCGTGTGACAGAGAATCTCAGTAAATAAACATTAACAGTGTCAAATAAAACAACATTAACAACAACAACGAMAATAGCAACGCAAGGAACGTTGAAAAAGAACCAAGAAATCTAGTTAATGAAGCAATATTTCGACAACAAAACTTTTAAAACAAGTTTGAAGAAATTCCAGATAACGCAACACGAAAAAGATGCTTATGAGACAATCATAAAGAAGAGGAAGAGTGAGCCGCAAATCAACCTTATTACTTTCGAGTTTTACGAAAACTCACAATTTGGTAACTGAACTTTCCGCTGAGTCTGATTCCTCCTTACCAGAATCCTCTTTGGTCGGAGGCTGCCCTTGATTGTCCGGTGGCTTTTCTTTTCCATCGGTGGCTGGTTTCTGGTCATTTTGCTTTGCTGGGTCTGCAGTCTGGTCTGAAGGCTTTGACTCTGTCTCAGTACCTTGACCATGCATATCAGACAAAGGGATGTTATCACTAGCACCAGCAGCCCTCTCATTGCCACTAGCCGGTTTCTTAGTTCCAATAATTGTCGAGTAGATAGTTTCCTCGTACTTTTCAGGCATTTTGGTATGCTGACCCTTTGGAAGTGGTTCAAGGACAATGCCACCAYGACCACCTGGTGGTTGAAAGTCTCCTAAGGCTGCGTACGTCACCTCATCAGGTTTCTTCCTTTTATTTTTCTACATTCAAGTAAAGCAAAGAATCAATAAAATAACAATTCTGTATATCCAAATGGCATGATATAAAATTGAATGTTTTATAAGGATTTGTATGGGAAAATGCGCTGGATGGCAAAAGCTTACCAGCCAACACTTTCCCATACACAGCCTTGTAAATATTTGACTTTATATTTCATGTCATTTCTTCTATAGTCAACATTTGGAGCTGAAACTTCGCCCTCTTACTAAAGTTCAGGTTATCTTTTCATTTCTGGAGTTCATTTTAACTCATTTGCTAGCTTTAAGGTGATCTATTACAGTACATTGCAGTTTTACAGACTGCGATGGCATAGTATCTACGACTTCAAAAGAAATCCCGTAGATAAAAAAGGAAATCAAGAACTTTTAGAAATATTAACAGTAGGATACGTAGCACAACAAAAGCATCTGAATGTAAATAGTAGGATATCAAGAAGGTGAACTCTAAATTGGGTAGATATCGCAAATAAGAAATTGTCCTTGCAAATCCCCATAGAGAAAGGGGAAATACATTTTAATTTAGCTATCTTAAAACTTCTATGGCCCATGTGCTGTACATAGATTAACACTGCATCATACCTTGGTCTTATCTACTGCAGCATACGTAGGCTCCACTTTTTCACCTCCAGATTGTGTTTGATTGTCATTCTTGTCTTTTGCACCCTTCCTCGTTTCCACTGAATCATAAGCAGGATCAAAATGCGATGGTCCATGATGAGCATACTCAGATGGAGAAAACCCACCATTGTCCCTTGCCCCAATCTCCTCATTCCTGTCGGCTCTGTGTTTCATAAGAAAAGTTATGTTTGAAAGATAAAAGTGGTAGTGGTCACCTCTGAGGTCCGGGGTTCGAATCCCAGTCGCCCCATGGGAGCTGAGTTGGTTGGCTCTCTTCCTGACTCCGGTTTTTCCTTCCTCCTTTCAAATCAACCCTAACTAATTCAACTGGTTAGAGCTGTACTCCGGGGTCATACATGGACTGCATAGCAGCTGCCCCAGATGAAAAGTTTTTTTTCTCTCGACATTTTAACAAAAATATGATAAATACTATGTTTCCTCTATAAAGCCCCCTGGAAAAATATTHTTTTTCAGTAAATTGGACTTGAGGCTTATTCAAATATTTCAAAATACAGTAATCAGGCTAATAACCATCAAGGTGAAGTATATATTTTTATCAGAAATGTATCCTGCACAACTAGTACTTCCACTTCTATCACCGACACCTCTACTTGTCTATACCTACCCTTCTCACTACCATTACTATACAGCAATTACCGCTGATGTTACTGCTGTTATTCCTATGATGACACATTACGAATCCTATTCTTTTTCTTAAATTTAACAAAGTAAGTACTTACGTTACAGCGACAACTTCTTCCACAACAACACAGTCTAGGTGAATATTAAAAATAGTATTCATACATAGCCAACCAAAAAATAAACTTGTAAGATGGGGGAAGAAGAAGATAGAAAGAGTAAGGGAAAGAAAAAAAGGGAGGGAGGGAGAGAAAGAGAACAAACAAAAGAACACGCGAAAGAACAAGAAAGCAACTTGGGGACAATGAAGGAGGAAAGGTTAAAAGAAGTACGACTACGTAAAAGATTCGTAAAAAGAATACTTACTTTCCCCGTCCTTTTGCCTTTTCTTTTTGCAGTAACAAACAATCACCACGATTATGCAAATAAGTAACACAACGACCACGACCACAACAACGATAACTATAATCATAATCTCATCGTTTGTAGAGGATGATGTTGTAGGTTTAGTCGACAGTGTTGTACTTTTAATTCCCGTCGTAGGGGGAGTTGTTGGTCTAAATAAACCTATGGAGACAATAAAATTCTAGTTATCGTCATTACCACTTCCATCATTATCATCTCTCCATCATCATCATCATCATCATCATCATCATCATCATCATCGTCATCATCGTCACTGTGATTAGAAGCCGTTGAGGCCCATACGTCATTGGTATGCTATTTGCGTTTCATAATTCGATTGGTTGAAAAAAATTACAATATTTACGGTCTGCCAATGAAATCGATTAAAATAAGTCGATCAACTCTTGATATAATATAAAATCGTTAAGTCATATGGTACTAACCATTCTGAATGCTGTTTAAGTCGATAATTAACCCACGAAGCTTAGGGGAATTTTCAATAACGGCGTTTTTGAGGGGATGGAGATAGTCAGCTGCAGCTCCCACGACGATGAGTTGAAAATTCACGATTACACTCTCTTGCCTAGAACTACAAAATATTAAATGTCACAAAAAAGAAAACCTAGACAAACATGGAACAAAGGGAGGGAATCTCAGCTAAATCGTGATTAACAGTAAGAAGGAGTGAAAAAAACATGAACATGATATTTCTGGGGTGCAACCACATGACTCTTGAGATATTAATTAAAGTAACAACAAAACAGCCGAAAGCTAGAATTCTAAACGTGTTTAAAACGTCAACTGAAAAGACTAATTCAAAAAAGTTATTTTTATTTATTTGTCCTTATTTCGTGCAGTATCTTGATTTTTCAACTAAAGGCATACTCACAAAATATTACGTATATCTCGAGACGAAGGAGCAGTTTAGTTCTCGATAATTAATGCTCCTAAATTCCTGGAAACGTTTTCCATGAATTAATTTATGAGAATATCATTTATTCCTTTTCCCCCTTTTATACGTTGCAAAAACGACTTTGACTAAGTACCACACAGCTACAACCTATAACTGAACATTTCAGCTTGCCCATAATGCTTTCCAATTTCAGATGGTATTATGTGATTCTTTGCTTGGGTCACATTAATAATACCAGAACACAATTCAAATAAATGATTACCCTACGTGCATTAAAACTAGACTTGTCTACACTAGTTTTACGATTGATGGGCACAACAGCATGACAAAAACAACAGCGCGGGCTTCCTGTATTTTCATGCGAATCAACTTTTCAAATGCCCTCAACCTATTGGGCACTCTTAGTCCCAACGGGATTAATGAACGCTTTACTTTCAACTAACCTTTTCTTTTGTCTTTTGATTGTTTGTTTTTGTTTCCTTGCCTACCTTGCTCTCATTGGTTTCTTTTGTCTTATTCTATCATATATACACACTCCTTTCTACCACTTCTTTCTCTTTTACTCYGACGAAGGACTAGCGTCCGAAACGTCAGTAAGTTTTTTCATCTTTTCACGGTGTATAATTTACCTTTTCATCATTACTGTTAACAATTATTCTGTCAACTAGCTTATATGATATTAGACACGAGAAAGATACGAGATACATCTTTGGGTACTGCTTAGGATTAGGTAATGCTTATCAGGATTAGGGTGCAGTTATACGAGCAACAAAATCGTGCCCTGAACTTGTGCCGCAACATTCAGTGCCTTGCAAGTCACAAAGCGGATGTGGCTCGTACTACCCCCCTGTGCACGACAATTCTTCTTTGTTCCAGAAAGCAGAAAGGGTTTCTACTTCTGCAACAAAGTCGCACAACAAAATTTTGTTGTTGTTTCGGGAGATAATACGAGCAACAGTCACTCTGCAGCTTACAACGGAACAATGCTGCGCGACAAGTTAAACGATTTTTGTTGCTCGCATTACCACATCTTTAGGGGACTTACRTAAATCCTAGTACTTTCACATCTTTAAAATACGGTTTTTCTTGATATATATTTCGTAACTACAAGAAAAGGAAGAAGAATACAACGAATTTATACAAAATAATAATAATAATCATAAAACAGAACATAGCAACACAACAATAAAAAAGACATTGCAACTCCTTGGACATAAACTTAAGGCGCGATTACACGGAGCTATTTTCTCTGCAACTTGTCTCGCAACGGGGTTGCGACACAAGTTGCGAGATTGTCTCCGCGGTGCAACGGAGACTCAATTGTTGCCAAAAGTAGAACCGAATTCTACTTTCGCAACACCGTTGAGAGACAACTTGCACATAAAATTGCTCCGTGTAATCAGGCCTAAAGTTTATGTCCGAGGAGTTGCAATGTCTCTTTTTTAACGATGAGTGAGTGTGGGTTATGTAGCTGCTTAGCGAGTTTCTCACTTATTGTAATAATGAAAGAATAAATGAATGAAAATAAAGAATTAATATACTAGCAAAATACGACAACTTACCATTACTGTTACTGTAACATTTAGATCGTTCTCTGCATTGACCTCTCTTCTAATTCTCCTATTGGTAATAATGAGGGAGAAATTCCAAGGTGTTGCACCAACTAAAAACAAATAGATAATAATAATTGCAAAAACGTAATGGTGATGGTGTTTACAATAATGATGAAATCAAAAGTTTAAGTTTATCGAAAATTTTACAGGGTTGTTTGACTTCCAAAGTCAATATACCCTTATAGGGAATTTGAAATACTATATTTATAGATATATCACTTACATTGTTTATGTAAAGTAAAGCTACAACTGCCTGCTGCGTTGTCAATTACACAAACCAATTCAACCTTGTTTGAGTTATAAGCCACAAAATATGTCCCATTTTTATAGACAGCATAGGGTGGAGATGAGGTGTTACCGGCAAGACTGCAATTGATTGTCGGTCGTGGATTTCCAGTGACATTTAGGGTATATTGTGTTCTGTTTATTAATATCGAGGTCTGGTTTTTACAGATATCTGGCTCATAAAAATCGAAGACAAAAAAAGTAACGTGTCAGCGTGATAGGACTTTCGCAGCCGGGGAAAAACAACCACTGACGACGACAATAATACTATTAGAAATAATGATATTATAATAAAAAATAACGAATAAAATAAATATGAATGGTATGGTATGGTATGGTATGGGTTTTGCTAAAATGGACCAGCAAAAAATACAAACATCCCTGCCATTGCAATAAAAAAATAACTCATTTGTGTCATTCATTAATGTGTCACTGTTATCAGCCTCGTATTAAATACGATATTTCTTTTATTTCGTTTGTTGGTCTGGAAATCAATAATTTGAAGAGGAAAAGTGACATATTAGCTTCGTACATTTTCTCGATTCTGATTAGCTAATATTTTTTTCTCTGGTCAGCTTGTAGGAAAACAAATCCACACATTTAGGTGAAAAACAAGTTGGAATAGTTTGTGTCATCCCACTGACTTCCTTCCAGGTGATCTCGGATTGAAGTGCACAAAGGATTACGCTTGTGGAAATAAGTGATAAGAATATGAGAAGTGATAAATCGATGAGTAAATTAATAAGTTGGATTCGGCAAACTTGTTTAGGAACTTACTTCACTTACTACAAATGAACATTCAAATTACTAAAAGCCTTGTGCAGACGTTTACTTAAGTATTTTACTTAAACCTGTCTTTCCTGGTTYCTCTTGATATAAATAAATCGGAAAGTATGCGAGCATGCTCAGTTCTAGATATTATCCCAGATGCAACATTAACATTCAAATTCCTATTACGAAAAAGGTTTTGGCCGTAGATCTTCGAGAAAATTTCGAGAGCTAAATCGACGAGCAGACGACCCAAGACGATTGACCATAGATAGACCTATCCAAAATTCGCTTGACTGGTCACTGAACAATGGTTTCAAGTCGAGGTTGAACTTGATGAATAAAAGAATCAAGTTCAATCTCGACTTCAAACCGTTATTTCGCGGTCAGTCAAGCGAATTCGGGATAAGTCTGTTGTTTAATTATTTCTCAATTGACACGGTTTTCTTTGTTATACAYAAGGCTTTATTTTTGTTATAACCCTCATTATAAATGCGAGGTCAATATATAGTTATAAACCCGGTTAATAACTATATATAGACCGTTCGCATTTATGAGCAACATTTGATAGAAAACCTTCTCAATTGATAAATAAAATAATTAATTACCGAGAACGGCATACCTACACATGTATATGGCTTATTGCCTCCGTTCTCGGTAATTAACTCTAACATATCAATCTGCTAATATCTTAGTGAGTGAGCGAGTCTGCCGGTCTCTGTCTGTCTGCCTGTTTGTCTGTTTTCTTTATTTTTTTACCATTATTATTATTTTTATGGTTATTTAAATACATCATAATTCTAACGCCTAAGAAATAAAACACAATTTTCAAAATACATTATTTACACTCTTTTAACAACTAATGTATAACAGAATTGCATTGGTGAAGCGATATTTGCTGAGAGCAAGAACGATACCCCTGAACAGGTAGGAACATTTTGGCCACCGAAGTGGCCAGTTATTAATCGCACAGTGTCAAACAATACTCAATGACTGTGTACAAATATTCAAAGCATATTCACAGCAAAGGTGAGGCTAATATCGCCACAACGAAATAATTTCCTCTGGAACTTTGAAAATAGAGGAGGCTGGTGAGAACAACCATAGCGGTCACAAGAGGCAGTGTGGTGTGTGACGGTGTGACGTAAGACCCTGTCTAATGAAGTTATCACGTGACCAAAAATGTTTTAATTTGAGGATTCATCTAGTTTTGTCATATCACATATTACGGTGGGGAATTAAGTGTCCTTTACAAAGTATTTTACAAAAGTTTACATATAACTGATCATTTACAAATTGTGTATGCTTCACTTACAGTATATTTGCAAAAAAAATTACGAATTGTTTATCTCAAAGATAAGTGTAGTGATTGCTTTATAGATAGATGCTTAAAAAGGAGAAAGGTTTTGACTGACGACGCAAAACAAAGATCCAATCCTCGATTCAACCAACAAAATTCAGGAACGTTACAAAGCCAACGATGAGAACATCATCGCCATCCATCCAACCAACCATTAACTAACAGCTGGTAAAATTCACAAACCTTTTCTTTGATATCGAAAATAGTACACAGCAGTCTAGAACCGAGTTTAGGGCCTACCAAATTCACAGATTGCTTGTGGTCAAGGATAATAACGCGTCAAAAACGTGCTCGGGCACAATAATACAATACAATAAGCTTTATTATAGGTTCCCTGGATGGATTCTTCATATTATCGAATTTACAAAATTATAAAAATATAAATATGAAAATATGAAAATAAAAAAATATATTGCCAATAACATGAAAAGGCTAACTACAATTAAGTTCAAAATATACAATATATACAGATAGAAATGCCATCTACTGAGCCATATACTGAAGCTTTTTAATTTGGATTTGGATTTTGTTTGAGCCAAACACACAGAACGTCTTATCAAAGTTTACATTAGGAGTTGATTTTCACAACATCAAGCTGCAACTAGATATACTAGATTCTGCTTGCGATCTTCAAGTCCTCCATTAAACAGCTTGGAAAAGCCTGCATAGGACTCAACTTTGCAGATGTTAAAGACTGATGGTAAGTCTTTTATGTACAGGTAAAATAGGCAATGGACCCAAAATAGATTTGAAATAGATATTATGTTTAAGAACATCTGTTGATTCGTACTCGATGCGTTCTGTCAGTCAAACAACTTTGGAACCAAGTTAATGCCGAGTCGGAAACTTTGAGATAGTTCGTAGTTTCATTAGCAGTGTCTGAGGTTTGACACTATCGAATGCCCTAGTCAAATCGATCATCAAGACGGTCATTTTTTTCCTCGTCGATAGCCTTATACAGATGGCTAGAGAAGAGAATCCCCAATGTTTCCCTCGTGTGACATTTTTTGTTCCCACTTTGATGAGCAGAAAGCAAGTTGTTTGTCGTGAGGTAACAATCAAACTATGCGTTCCAACACCTTAGACAGGACAGGCTGTTGAGAAATGGCACGATTGTTGCCGGCGACTTCATTGTCCCCTTCCTTCAGACGGGCAATCACCTCGGCTCTTTTCCATTTTCCCATAAAACACCCCATTGAATGGGAGGCGTTAAACAGCCTGATCCGTCATGACACATAGGATGGGCGTCAGGCACGTCTTGATAACTCTCGTATTAACTTTAATCGTACCCTGGAGCCTTGTTTGTTGGAATGTTCGTGATGGTAATTGACTAGTACCAAGGAACCGCGATCGAATGTAAACGTAACATCGCGATCCTCATTCTCTGCGGAGGAGCGATTGGGCGGGACTATGAATAGTAGATCGTAGTCTAACGCCAACTGCTGATCTTGGTGTGCAGCATTTAAAATAAAATAATAAATAGTATTTATCAGTGGCATTTAAACGGTGTGGCTCTTCAATCCACTGAAATTTGAATTTAGAAATTTGAAA